GCTATTTGGGTAGTGTGTTTTACTTTAAATTCATTATGTATCATTTTTTATTTATAACTAGTATATAGAATTTAATAAAGTTTAATAAACAACGCGCAGCTTCAATTTGAAGTCACTTTGCCATAAAAAAAAAAAAGAAACTTTTCAGAATTTCCTTTTTAGTTTCGGCAGGCAACCTTAAACTATACTGATAAGGATAAAGAAATAAAATTATTCATTTCTCATGAAAAAAAATTGCTAAATTTGACCTGACCACCTAGAAAAAAAAATTTATTTTCAAAAAAAAATTTAGCCGATTCTTAGAAGATGATTGGTTGATTTAATAAATTTTTTGCTCAAATCATCAGATCATTCAGATGGAAAAAAAAATTATTTTTTTATAATTATGATTGGTCAAAACCAAAATCACATGACCAAATGAAATAAATTTTTTTATCTTTTCATAACATTTACATGTTCTGTCCGGTCATGAGAAACGAATAAATTTATTTACTTAGCCTAAAATAATGTTGTAAGGAAAATTTTAAACAATAAATAAGATTTTAATTATACGAAAAAATCAAAAAATTTTTTTTATTCATATAATTTAAATATATTAAAATCTAAGAATACTAGTGCTAATAAAAAATACACTGTCATACTATAATTACATTTGATTAATTGATGTAAATCTTAGAAAAAAAAAAGAATATCAATGATATTTCTTGTAAAAACAAACAGAAATACCCTGTTTTAAGAACCTTTTTTGTATTAAAAACTACAGCAAGAACTCTTAAATGGCAAGAAAACTAAAACAAACTAAATTAGGCGTTAAATACCTCAAATTAAGAATATTAGAAAAAATAGAGTGGTGGAATGTTGGTAGTACTTTTAAAATAAAAAACTGCAAAACTTATAGGTAATAATAAACACTAGTATGTTTGATTATTATCAGTTTAAAGCATATAGAATAAATGCTGCCTTAAGTTCAATAAAAAAATTATTTGATGTAATAGCCTTTATTTACTGATTTTCTACACACAAGTTAGTGCGACAGTTTTAACAGATACAGTCGACTTCCTTTATAGGCACCTCCCATATAAGAACTCCCCTCCTTAAGGTACACATTTTTTAGTCTGAATTTTTTTATATATAAAATACCCCTTTTATAATCACTTTATTAGTTATAAGTACAATCACACCAAACGTCGGTCCCATATTATAGTAAATATATGTAAAATTCCCCCTGCATAAACATCTTCCCCAGTATCGCCAGAAAATTTTTTCACCTCCACGTGACCCTAAATAATTTGTCACCTGTGTCATATCCCTCCACTTTCTCATTTTTTATAAGTATTCTGGGGACTTAGATTTTTTTCAGTGTCTAAAATCCTATTCGTCACACATTATTTGACACATGGTTAATTTCTTAATTCCAGCCAAATCTCATAATGCCGGCCAAAGTCACGTGGGGGTGAAAAAATTTTCTGGCAATACTGGGGTAGATCTGCATAAGCACACAAATCACGTGATTTATAAAATAACTGTGCGTTTCATTTTATTATTTTGTTGTTTTACCATGAGGAAAAATTTAAGTTTTTTATTTTTCAAAAATTCGATAGTTTTAAATATATTTTACATATAAACTTTTTTACTTAATTATTTTATATATATACTGTATATATATATATAATCACGTTTACTTAAAAATTTATATATGTGTGATTATATATTTAACCCTCACCAATAGGCACACCTCATTATAATCACACCATTGGATGGTCCTGAGGGGTGTGATTGTAGAGGGGGCTGACTGTAATCAATGAATATTTTACACAAGTCACAGTTAAAAAGGTGATTTTTAGGGGTAAAAAATTTATTTTAGGATTGCGTAAAATTCCTAAGAATTAGGAAATTTTTTTAGGAAAAATATATGATTATAATATTATACATAAATCAACCATGAATCAATTAGAAGCGCTTTTTCTCACATGATATTGAAAAGTTAAGTTGAACCATCTTGTTGAATTTTAAAACTTTCACGCCAGATTATTGGCAAAATTAAAATTTTAAATTCCTTTATTTATCATATGATTAAGTTTTACAATAAAAAAATAAACTAAATATAAATAATAATTGAATATAAAATTAAATATCGTAACATGTAACTTTCATTATAGTTTCTTTTTTATTGGTCATTGTTGTAATAATTATTACTAGAACTTAAATCTTTTTTAGTAATTGTCACTGTAGTGATTATATTTTCATTTTCGTCAATTTTTATTTCTGTTATAATTATTGTTTCATTTTCATCCTTATCTATTTCAATATAACTGAAAATTTTTGTTTGATTTTTCATCGGTATTCCTGAAAAATGAACTATTTTAAGAATTTCTTTACCTTTATTATTAATTTCTTTTTCAGTTTTATCATCAATATTTTTATCAATTTCAACATCAATTTTATCAACATCTTCATCAATTTTATCAACATCAACATCAATTTTATCATCAATATCGATCACAATTTCAATTTCAGAATTACAATCAAATATATTACTAGAAACAAAATTTGCAACATATATTTCTTCACCATTTGAATCTATTGTGATGGTTTTCACTGTAATTTCCGGTTTTCCATCTTTACCAGTTGTTATTTCTGTTTTAATTGTTGTTATATTCCCATCCTTATCTGTACAACTACAATAAAGAATTCTTTTTTGGTTTTCCGTTGTTTTTAAATCACCTTGTAGAATAGTTGTTGATTCATTATTATTAGAAACTTCTTTTATTTCATCTATCTTTGAGACATTTTTAGTGAGTTTGGAGACTTTTTTAGTGGTTGTCACTGCGGTCGTTGTTTTTCCATCTTCACTAATTTTTATTTTAGAAGTTATTTTTACATCTCCATAATCATCTGTTTCACTACTAATGAAAGTTATTGTTTTCTCTTTTATCGTTCCTGAATCTCCAGTTTCATCTATTTCTTTCATTTTATCTTTTTTATCCATTTTATCATCTTGTAAATCAGTAATTAAAATTTCTTCTGGTTCAGAAATAAATGTTGCATTGTACATTGTTTTACTATTTGAATCTAAGTTGGTTCTCACTGTAGTTACTGTTTTTCCATCTTCACCAGTTGTTATTTCTGTCATAGTTGTTGTCATATTTCCATACTTATCTATTTCGCAACTACTAAAAATTTTTGTTGGTTTTCTCGGTGGTGGTTGAACATCACTGTCATCATCATCACTGTCATCATCATTATCATTACGTCCCTTTGAACTTTTCATAAAAGTTTGAATCTTAACAAGATCGTTATCAAAAGATTTTTTGACCTTTCTAACTTTTGAGAGTTCTTTAATTTTTGGTATTAATAATATTTTTGATTTACTAATTTCTTCTAAATTTTCGATATTTTTTGTGTTATTATATAATTTCTCCAATAATGCATAATTATCTTGATTAAAAAAATAATTATATTGATTTTTATAATTTTTTAAATCCGTTACTGCTTTTATCGCTTCTGATACCCTACTTTCGAATTGTTCAAGTATTTTTTTATTTTCCGCTGACTGACATGATTTAACAATTTCTTCTGATAATTCTATTACTTGCTCTAACAGTGGAGAAAAATCAGAAAATGGTTTTCCTAAAAAAAAAAAAAAATCAAATCAAATTAAATTTTTAAAGTTACATCACATTAATGCCAGGCATAAATCTTACCCTTGGTATTAATGGTATTGTTATTGTTACGGAAAATTTTTGGTAATTTGAAAGGATTATTATTAGAATTTGGACGAGAGTGATCGCTAAACAATAAAAAAAAACAATTAAGTCATCATTAATCCTTATAAAGAGAAATATTAAAGAATATAAGGAAATAAAATACCTCTCAAATGGAACGAAGAATGAACATTTAAAATTTTCATTATTATCCAATAATTTTCTAATAACATCATCCGATAATTTTTTAATAACTTTTTTGTTAGATGAAGGTTTGTCATTAAAAAACTTTACTTTAATTTGTGTAGAACGTTGTTTGAAGAGAATTTTTCTATGTTCATCTTTTATTGAATATAAACTAATAAATTTTGGAATATTCTTAAAATTTTTAAATTCATCAATATTGTCAAGATTAATGGTATTATTTAAATTGTTCACATATTTCTCAAAGATTGTAGAAGAATTAGTTATCTCAAGCAAATGAAGACTAAACTTGGGTAATTTCACACATTGTTCATCTTTTGGAGAATAAGCGAACGTATATAATTTCTCACGATCGTCGGAAAAATAATGACTAACCACTAAATTTGATTTATTTGTGTAGGGAATTCCTATATAATAAGCTTTTTCGATTGGTGATTTTAATTTAAATATTACATTATTAGATGGATTAGATTGATAATAATCAATCTTTGATACTTTAAATTGAGTGTAATCATTTAATTTCGTGTCATAATCTGGAAAAATGGATTTAAAATTTGTATCATAACCGACAACCATCCATCCAATTACGAGTTTACTGTCTTTAGATTTTTCTTTAAAATGATGAATTACAAGTTTCGGTTCTTTACCGAACGAAGTAAGAATTTGACAATGATAGTAATCTTTTGTACCAATGACTGTTGCAAAGATTGAACAGTCGGCATGTTTGTTTGAAATAATTTCTGAAATTTTTTGTGGTAATTCAATAATTTTTATTTTATCATCTTTAACATTCTCAATATCAAATAATTTAGTTTTTACTTTGGAATAAAGGATCCTTTTTCCAAAAAATGAATATAATTCTTTACGTAAATCATCATCTACAAGTTCAAAAATACTGATCGGTTTTAGAAATTCTATGATATTCCAATTTCTATAATCATTTAAATCCTTTTCATCTTTAGTTTGATTCGCATTGTTATAATCTATTTTAAAACGTTCGCCCAAAATAATCTCAGTGGGAATAAATTGACCAAATTCTTCAGTAATTTGCACAAATTTTTTAGGATCTTTAAATTTTAAGGCATTGTTCACTTTTTTAATAAAATCAGCTGTCGCTTTTAAATTACCAATTCTAATAGATGCTTTTTTATATACTCGATATTTATTTAAAGTATCTTCAATATCACTTTCGTAATTTTCATATTTTTTTCCTATTTTTGCAAAATATTTTACATTCATATCGGAAAAAAAAAACAGATTTTTCTTTATCATCCAATCTTCTAATGAATTAAATTTCGCCATTTCATCTTTTTTAATGTCAATTTCAGCCAGTTGACATGCTTCCATTTTAAAAGCTCTTTGATTCGCTCTTTTAATCCCGTTAGAAGTCATTGTACATCCAAAATCTAATTTATGTCGTTCATTCAAGAACTTCCAATATGGTCTTGAGGTTTCTATTAAACTTAAGGTAAATGAAGTTTCGTTATCGTTCGAAGCCTCTTCGATAATGTTATTCAAAGTTATTTCTTTCTCATTTTCACGCGATATTGCGGTCAACTCAAATTTATCTTTATTATAGAAATTTTTTGAAAATAATAATGTATCATTCATTTTAATAGTGCCATCTTTTTTAAGCTTTTCACGAATGTCTGACAATTTATCCTCAAGTTCTAATTGGATGGTTTTAGATACGTTAATTCTTACTTTACTTGAAGCCATTTTTAAATTTAAAAGAAAAAGAATTGAAGATTTGGGGGTATTAATTTATTTTTATTATTTATAAATAGTTACAAACTGGATTTATTCAAAAAAATTCATTCCCATCCAAAAGCTCTGAACTGTAAAATTAAATAATAAATAAATAACTTTTTTATGAGTGCTTAAATGAATGTTGTATTACAATCATTACGTACACGAATTTATACATTGATCACACCATAAACATTTTCCCATTAAAAATTCCCTTTTTTTCTCCTTTTTTTGTACTTGAGTTACCTCAGTATGTGTGTAAAATTTTTTGTGTATTCATTATTACTAATTAATAAAAAAATTTTTTCCGTATTTTTTTCTTTTTTTTGCAATCTTACATTCATATCTGAAAAAAAGAGATTTTTCTTTATCATCTAATCTTCTAATGAATTAATTTCCTTTTTTAACGTCAATTTCAATTAGTTGACATGCTTCCATTTTAAAAGCTCTTTGATTCGCTCTTTTAATCCCGTTAGAAATCATTGTGTATCCAAAATCTAATTTATGAAATTCATCAAGAACTTCCAATAAGGTCTTTGAGGTTTCTATTAAACTAACTTGAGGTAAATGAAGTTTCGTTATCATCCGAAGCCTTTTCGATAATGTTATTCAAAGTTATTACATTCTCATTTTCAGTTCACGCGATATTGCGGCTAACTCAATCTTATCTTTTCCAGGGAAATTTTTCGAAAATAATAATGTATCATTCATCATAATAGTGTCATCTTTTTTAGCCTTTTCACGAATGTTTGATAATTTATCCTCAAGTTTCAATTGGATGATTTTAGATACGTTAAAACTCTTACTTTACTTGAAGCCATTTTTAAATTTAAATGAAAAAAAAATTCGGAGATTCGGAGTATTAATTTATTTTAATTGTTTATATATTAGTTATTTACTGATCTAGTAGTATATAAAAATAGGTACAAACTGGATTTATTCAAAAAATTCATTACTGTACGTCCAAAAGTTCTAAATTGTAAAATAAATAATAATTATATAGCCATTATTTAAAAGGAGTTTTTTAATGATGTAGAATACAATGTAATGTGTTAAATATTGTTTCGTTAAAAATCCCTTTTTTTGTACTAGAGTTACCTTATTTTCGAGCACAATCTTTTTAGTTTATATGTGTGTAAAATTTTTTGTGTATTTCATTAATAAAAAAAAAACTTTCCGTTTTTTTTGACGACTGAAACATGAATATGTCTGATACAAAAAAATTCATAAAAGTTATAAGAAAGGAGCCGGTAGGAGATGATATACCGATACGTATTAAATTGAAAATCACGGATAAATTATCAGAAATCCGGGAACAACTTCAAATTGATAGTACTATTTTAATGGATGATACATTATTTTTTTCAGATAGAGATTCTAACAACATAATGCGTAAACGTGAAACCGAAGTTTATTTAGAAGATATTATTATAGACGATACTATATATTTGAAAACTTGTGATCCTAGTCCGGATTATTTTAAAGGCACATTAAGCCTTGAATATGGACGTACTTTAACCCCTATTAATTCTAAAATTGAAATTGCGGAAAAAAAAGCATTTACAATAGATGAAATAGAGCTTATCAGACCTGATGTGACTAGCAATAATGAAAAAGTCAATTTTAATTCAAAGAATAGCTGGGAGAAAAAAATAAATATGTTTCTTAAAGCTGAAGCTGGATTAATGAATTTTGAGCCATTAGAATTATCTTTTACGAACACACGAAACAAAAATGAAGAAATTGAAAGAAATTATTCTTATTCTTATACAAAAATTTCTAAAATGCATTTGCATTTAAAATTAGAAGGTTTAAAACCTACTAATTATTTTATTAGAGAAGTTGAAGAAGCCGTAAAATTATCGAATCGTAAGAAACTTGGAGAAATTAATACTCAATTCGGTCAATTCGTTCCTACTAAAGTTACTTTAGGCGGAATAGTTTATTATACGACCGAAGGAGAATCAAATAAGTCTTCTGAACAAAAGATTATCGGTGGTTCTTCAACAATTGCCACTTCTGGAATTCCTGCAGCGAACCTTAATATTGAAGTTGGGCTTAATAATGATAACTCAAAAAGTGAATTAAAGAACTTAGAGAGGAAAACTAGCAGCTTAATCGGAGGAGAAACAAATTTTAATAAGAAAAAATGGGTTATTTCATTATGCGATTACAAAACTTGGAGGTGTATAGAATTTCAAGATCCGATTAATATTTTTGAACTTTTAAATGATAATCTACGTAAAGATATATATAAAGTCCTTGGAAAAAAAATTCTTTATTATGATGTTATATCACGTGAGCAATACTTAGGATATGGAGAACGTGAAATTCTTAAATTACCGTTACAAGGAAAGATCTGCGAAACAATTAATAATAAAGATGCAGACTGTTGTGTCTTTGCGACCGTTGTTGATGAAGACGACAAGAAAAACGATTTCTTTAATTGTCAAATCTATTATCCGCCACAAGATGAAGAAGTACCACGGCTCATTATTCATTGTTACCAAAAACAAAAATATCAATCTAAACGTAAATTAAAAATTGGGTTTATGATTATTGGTTATGATGTAAATTTCAACTCCAGTGATAAACTTAATGATGAAATACGTGTTGAAGTTATCAATAATCCTAAATTAGATATGTCAAAAATTGAAGAATTAATGTATAGATATGATTTTAAAAATTTTGGTTTTAATGAAGAAAAATCGTTCTTGGGAATCCCAGTATTAAGTGAATTAGATAAATCTAATAAATCTATCATAATTGGGCATTATTTTTTAGAAAACGAAAGTAATGAGGTTGAAGCAAATATGTTTGCTTATTGTTTGATAAAGAAGGAATTCGTCAAATTACCCAAGTCTTGTTGTTTTCATGTACTCGTAATTTCAGGAAGTCCTAATTCTAATACTTATGGCAAATTTCCTTTTAATGAAAAAAGAACACTTACGGGAAAGAAAAAATACATAGTTGAAAAACTTACTGATCCAAAATATATTAATGTATATTCTGAAAAGGTAAATTGCGGTCCAGTTTTCTTGAAACAGAAAAAAGAAGAAATCAAATTAAAATATGCCGATTGTAGAAATAGAACCTGTTCCCTTTGTAAGAACAGAACTTCAAAAGGTAAAATCAAATGCGCGTATTTTTTTTTTAAATAAAAGGTAATTTTTATCGATTAATCTAGTTTTCATGTTTTTCATTTTTTATCTTCAATATTTAACTAGAATTATTCACCATGTGTGATTGCATGATGCTTTTTAATTTTTCATTATTTATTCAAAATTACAAATAAAAAAAAATATATTATTATGTGAATTTTATTAAAGAGAAATAAACTTTTTTTTTTTTTTGTAAAAAAATAAACATCATGTCAATAAACTCCAATGATCTTTTTTTTCTATTGTTATTTATTCCCCCCTTATTTTCTTGACCCGTTTCAGTATCAGTGGAAGAATCATTGGATTTAAAGACCAACAGCTTATTTATCTTTAGCTTTTGTCAGTATTCCAAAAGGTACACATAATATTTTCGAAAGATCAATTTCAACACATATTATTCCTTAAAAGGCGATATTCAAACAAATCGTTCAGTATAAATGACCAATTAAACAAATCTTGTTAGCACTAACCTTATCTAAAGCTGTAATCATATTCACATTAGAAAACAGTTGGTAAATCATATGATTTTACAGCTACTCTATAGATGTAATACACTACACAATCCTGATATTCATGTTTTAGTCCTAATTTTTCTATATTTAGTTTCAATCGAAAACTATTCTCCAATACATACATTGCTTTTCTACATGTATAAAAACAATCTAACATATGGTTTGGTTGGTTTGAATCTCTTGATAGCTTCCGATAATGACAAATTAAAACCTTTAGAACCAGAATATTCTTTTTGTGCACCTGTTGTGCCAGGTATATAATTTTTCTATTGTGAGTTAATAATTATTGTGATAAATCCTTACAATACCTTTATTAACGTGTGATTATAATTCGCTGAGACGTTAGTCTAGTATCTCCTGTCATAAGTGTCATCATAGCAGATGAGCATCACTCAATGTTGTAGTGTACATAGTGAAAACCACACTCTCCTGATTTTTTTACTAATATAGAAAGAGAAAGCATAATGAAATAAAAATTAAAATATTACTCCTGCTATTATTCCCTTATCATGCAAAAGATAATTTACCATTTCATCTTTAAAAAGGACTCAATGGATACGCAAATGCAACCAATACAAAGTTTCGTAATATGATGACAATTTAATGCGTTACAATCGGAACAAATAACAATAACAATAACAGCAGGCGGAAGGCGAAAACTTATATGGCAGTAGTACCGATTAATAGGAAGTTTCATTTATAATTTCTATTATTAATAAATTGTAATAAATCGGTTATTTTATTTTATACATGCTAAGTATACTTAGTGAATATTCATATCAAATGTATTGTCAAATATTATAAATTCAGTAAAAATAATGTAATATATATGTATGGTGAGATCCCTCTATTCCCTCTGTCATCAATTTACAGAGTTGCCACATCAAACGGGCATTCTCATGGTCGAACAAACGAATAATCGAACGAACAAATTAAACAAACAAGCAAATAATCAACAACATAATTAACAATAACATAATTAACGAACAACATGCAACCACATATAATAACAATATACAACAACATTCTTAGTTCACAACATAAATAGCGTTAGTAGTATAAAATATCAAACGATATAAAATAAAATTTAACTTCTCTAAATTTTCATCAATTTTTATCCACTTTACCTTTAATTTCAAACTTCAATAGCTCTCGCTACAAATTATTACTTTTCAAAAGTGTATATTTAATTCATCTTAAAATTTTCATTTTATTCAATTAAAATTAATTAAGCAAACATTAATTAAAGTTTAGGGTGAACCTATTAACTCTAATTAATATTAAACTTTACTAACAAATAATTAAATGAAACTTATATTTTTATTGAGTTCTATGGATGAGAACTATGAAATTACTTTGAATTCTGCTCTCTATTTATACAAATTTTATGCTACTTTCTATTCTGTCTATATACTATCTTTTATGTTCTTTTTACATATTATCCTTTCTAATATGCTATCTATATTTTAAATACGCTATCTTTTAATATGCTATCTTTTTAATATGCTATTTTAATATGCTATCTTTAATATGCTTCTATATTATCTTTTTTAGTACACTATCTTTCAATATATTTCTATTTTTAATATGTTATATTCCATCTTTTATATTCCATCTTTTATGTTCCATCTTTTTAATATATGTTATATTATCTTTTATATTATCTTTTATACTATCTTTTTATATTATCTTTTATATTATTTTTTCATATTATTACAGTCAACTCTCTTTATAGTCACACATTTGGGACAGTCCATATTTGGTAATTATAAAGAGATGTGACTATATAAAAAATTTCTTATATTTGTATATCATAATTCCGGCAAAAAATTAACATAATTTTAGCCAGAATTATACTTAAAACTTTATTGTATTGTAACTTCGCCAATATTAATTGTAGAGAAATGATCTTACCGCCATTCGATTCGTCTTGATGAGATGGTTCTAATGGTATAAAATACGTCGAAATCCAATCACTGATTAATTTCTAAAATTAAAAAAATATTAATGGTTTTTGTGTAATAACTCTGTCAATATTGATTATAGAAAGACGATCTTACTACCATTCGATTCGTCTTGATGAGACGAATCTAATGGTATAAGATCTGTCTCTTATACACATCTAGATGTGTATAAGAGACAGGTATAAGATACATCGAAATCCAATCACTAGATCAATTTCCGAAATTAAAAAATATTAAATGGGTTTTAAGTAATAATTCCGTCAATATTGATCACAGAGAGATGAGCTTACCACCATTCGATTCGTCTCGATGAGGCGATTCCAACGAGCTATAAATCGTCTTTTTACAATTACTAGATACCGAGAAATCTAGCAAAATGTTAAATGGCACAGTAAACGTAAATCAAGAAATATTATAATGCTGATGTTTAACATTTTGTTGAATAACTCGTCAGCCAGTGATCGGAAAAGGATAAAACTCACTCCTCTACAGATGGCCCTGATCCCACTTTTTTTCACGATAATGGATCTTCTCGACTTGATTATATCTGGTCTTCACCTGGTTTTCCTGCTCCTGGTCTTTTTCGCAAGTGGTTACTTGCCCGAATCTTCTTGATCGACCTTTCACCGACCACAAAGTTCTTACAACTGTTTTTGACTTTAATTCTTGCCTGGCTATCTTGGCTAAATCTCGTCTTAAACAAAAAAAAGAAATGCGTACTATTTTTTCTTACGCTTCCACTTCAGTTGAACAATGGGATAATTTACCGTTGAAGTAGATGATTCTCTTGGAGTTTATTTAGATAGACAATATCGCCCTAATTTTGATTTCTCCTCCCTTTCTCTTGATCGTATGTGGCACGCATTGAAAGCTGCCATAATTAGTGCTGCAATTGAAACATTACCCTTTCAAAAAGTCTCTAATACACACCGACATTCGTACTCTCCTGAATTAACTAAACTTATTGCTATTAACAAGTTTTTAGATCGATTTTTATATCGCCTTACTACTCGTCGCTCTAATCGGCCCG